CTTTTGTATATCCCTTAAAAAGTTCTTATTTAGGCCATTCTTTTGGCTTATCATTTGTATTTCCATTTTAGCTCAGACCCCAGGAAGGCCAAAGGGGTGGACTGGATGGCTGCAAGGTTTCCCCTATCTTGCTCTTGGGAACTTGCCAGCCAGATGTTGCTGGTCTACAGAGGGACATGAATCGAGGTCAGGTACAGGACCTCGGTCACTCCTCCATGCAGGCCCCTGGACAGCTCATCTACCCCTGTGAACACAGAACCAAGCCAAGCCCCCTCAAGCTTATGGTTAATTTTGCTTTTATTCAAGAATGGAAGTAAACTCACTTGTGATGTTTTGAAGATCTCTATCAGGCTTAGATTAATTAAATAGGTGATTTCCAAAAGTGGCTAGAAAGAGAAGTTATCAGACCTGGTGTCCTTTAAAAGGTCCTGCTGCAGCTGAGAGCATGATAGCTTCTCTTCATTTTCTGGTGCTCAGATCCATGGGAGACCACTGTCATGCAGTCTTCCTCCCAGGATAGGTGATCTCCTATCCTTTTCTTATCTGGAGAGGTACCGTAAAACTGATCCACTCACCAGTTCTTTGGACTTTGTTGTGGCTGTTGCTTGTGCTCATTTAGAGACATGCTGGTTTGCCATTTCTCTCCCTGAAATCTGCTCTGTGTCTTTAAATTATCACCGAATGTTTAATGAAAGTCCTGTTTAGAGGCTGTTGCAACATTTGCATTTTATATGTGAATTTCAAGTCATCTCCCTTGATGAATCAAAAAATCACTATGGCAAGGAGTTCATTTGCCTGACTTTCTCTCTTCAAGTCAGTAATCATGATTAGATTTGCTAGGTCCTATTTCCACCTAAAGGAGTAAGCAGAAGCTTCTTTCCCTTACTGCATTTGATGCTTTTCAGTTCTGATGATCAAGTGGACAACATCAAACAGCAACAGAAGTAACTTGTCTACATAGGGACCAATAAAGTATCACAGAAAAGGGGCAGAGCATAGTGATTACTTGCACTGGTGGTATCCAATATTGTTGTGCAGTATTTTATCTTCTGGTGTTAAAATGACCTTTGGCAGTATGTTTATTACCCTCCTCCAGATACAGAGCTAATATTTTGTGCCCTTTACCTTGAATTAGATGACAAGAGGGTTTAGGGTATGAATATGATTATGAGCATTAAGTTCTTCTATTGCTCCTTCCATTGACTTTTTGCCACCAGCAACTTTTCTTCAGAGTAATTGAATTGTATTTATTTTGTGACCGATTATAAAATGATAAATTCGATCATCAGAGTACCTTTTTTATAAAGATTCAAGAAACTTCAGTTGGTATAAAATGCATTAGCCAGCTTATAGATAGTTGCACATATTACTACTACTTTGCAGGACTTCTCCATTATTGCTTTTCGGCTTCTGGGTGCAATTTATAGTGCTAGTTTTTATATAAAAGTCCTTTATGCTGAGTTACTTTCAGAACCACCTCTCTCCACTGGAATCAGCCTGACTACTTGGATCAGACAGTTGGTTGTCCCCCTTTTTTGGAAGCCAAGAGGGTAAGGCCCAAAGGTACTTTTCCATCATCAGGCTCACCCTCTGGAATGACCTATCATGAGAAATATGTTTGGCTCAACTCTAGTTGCCTTCTGGAAGCTTCTGAAAATAGTGGTTTTTATTTGCCAGTTGCTATCTGGAATGTAGTTTGTACATTTTAATTTTTAGTATTGTCATAGTTTTTCCTGGGTGAACCACCAAGAGTCTGCATACAATTGTGGTGGGCTATAAATATGATATATAAGCAAACATACATATTGGAAATTGATACAAGACACATACAATGCAAAATGGAATTTCTGGAATAATAGAGAAGAATCTGAAAAAATCCAAGATTATAGGCAAAATTCGCGAAAAGACGGGCAACAGTTAAAAGGACAAGAGGCAAGATTGCAACTGTGCCTGAGATACAGAATGAAATAAAAGTGCCAGGCCAAACACTCACAGGAATTACTGTCTAACATTGAAGCAGTGACAGCCTTACCAAGTAGGGAGCAAGTGTATTACTGGAGTCATCTTCAAAATGAATTGCATAGCTCAAGGGACAAGTCAGGGCTTTATGGAGCTTGTGAAAGAAAGAGAGTTCATTGATCAGCTGGTAGTGTTCATGCCTCTTCCTTCTAGACTACGGAGTCAGCAGTAGAAATGTTGTTGCAGAAATCTAGTATAGATTTGTAGATGTCCATTTTACAATGTTATCATTGAATTATGAACTGAACAGTAATGCAAAGGGTCTCTTCTTGTTTTTATTTGTTACATTTGTTTTCCTCCTTTTATATTAGAAATTAAAATGTAAACAATGAGGTCAGAATAATAAACTGTAACAATAGGGTAAACAAGGCAGCAAAAGGGCATTGCCACATAAACAGTCTTAAGCAAATCTATCAAAGCTGTGAAAATAAAAAACTTCAAATGGATACTAGAAAGTTATAAAACTTTTGAGACAAACATGATTGTCTGTTGGGAGAGTTCAGACACGTGATGTATCAAAACTTTCCCCCCCTTCACTAAACTGGGGGTGGACATGGCAAGCACGTGACGCATCCAGCCCATGGGCCATGAGTTTGATACCCCTGCTCTAGACCTTAAGAGAGAGGGGGTTGGCATTCATCTATCAGGAGATTCTAATGGTTACTGGGAGCTCTGATCTCTGACCAGTTATGAGACATTCTTTGGACCAGAAAAGCATGGTGGGGATACTTCTATTGTACTTTCCTCATAGGTTAACAGTGTCACCAAGTTGATATATGTAGCTTTCTACTACTCAGTGATTTCAACCTTCGGTAACTACTGAGGTGGATACTGAAAGCACTCCTGGATTTACAATCAACATGACAAACATGGCCCTGTCACCCATGGTCATAGGCCTGATATACAAGGTGAGACTAGAATGTAATTAAATCTAGTAAGGATTGAAAAAAGTAAGCATTACTCTTTTGTAATGGACATTTCTTGGTGACTATGTGAAATGATCTGCACAGAGAGGCAAGGCCAATTCTAAGTGGTCCACTTCAAATATCTGATTTAGTTTAGTTTAGTTCCAGAGGATACATGTGGAATTTCCCAGTAATTTGGAGAGTAAATATGCCAGTAATCTCATTGATCTCTGCAATATGGAGGCAATAGGGACTTAGGGTAGGATTGTTCCTAAGCAGCCTATGTACTAGCCCTACAGGTACCTTCTTGGTTTACTGAAGGATGCAGGAGATGGTTCATGAAATGACACCAATGCTAGCAGAAGATGAGTGAATCCCATTCGAAAAGTGTATGACATTTGGACCTACATCATGGCTCTAAGGATGGCAATGCATAGATAATGGTCTACTATTACTGTGTCTATGGAGTGCACTGCAACAATTCCTTTTAAAATGACCAAGGTATTCGTAGAAAAAGACAGGAAAAAACACAGTGAGATTTTTGTAGATAAAATTTTTCAGATAAAATCACTTTCATTAACTTGGAGTTGAAAGATGGCTGGACAGAATCCGAACAAAAGTGCCAATGACTGCATTTTGTAAAGTTAACCTGGATTTACCGCGCTCCATTTTTTGCGTCTCTGGGCCCCAGGGAAGCCTTCTGGGAGTAAAAATGCCCCCCCCCCAGAAGCTTCCAGGAGGTCCAAAAATGGAGCATGGGGGGGGCTGGGCCCCCCCCCCGGCTCAGTTTTTTGCCTTTCTGGGCCCTTCTGGGAGCAAAAACGCTCCCCCAGGAGGCTTCTCTGAGGCCCAGGAGGCGGGAAAAAAAAACGGAGGGGGAGGGTTGCTGCAAAAAAGACCACACCCACCCAGTCACATGGCCACGCCCACAGAACCGATTGTTAAAAAATTTGAATCCCACCCCTGGGTACAATACCAACAATGGTAACACTCAGCTTTCCTTCTCTGTCCCAGATCAAATTGGGAGATATGGTCATGATTTCCAATTTATTGAAATTTAACACTAGCAAGATGGAGTGCTCCTCCAGAAAAAGCTGGTGTGCTGTTTATGGGTTCTAAACAATCAATTCCTGCTAAAAGAGCAGCAGAACAAATTGTAACCAGCAAGCATTTTGTTACAGTTGTTTTTGGAACAAAAAGTTGTGGACAAGTTATATGTGCCCTTGTCACCTTATATTTGATTTAGTTGTAATGTATGATGTACGGGATTTCTCTTGAAGTCTTTCCTGAAATTTGAACTGGTGCTAAAAGTGGCTGCCAATGTGCTACATGGGATTATCTGACATAATTACATAATAAATCACATATGCTAAATAAATAAATAAACATAACACCAATATTGCAGGAACTATGTTGGCTGGCAGTTGATGTCCCTGTGCAATTTAAAATGTTGGTTATCACCATTAGATCTTATGTGGTTATCTGAAAGTGGTTATCCATAAGACCACTTGCTACAAGTAGAATCTGCCAGCCCATGATGTCCTGCAGAGAAATCTTGCTGCAGTTCTCCACTCCTTGTGAGGTACATACAACAGGAGAGGATATGGAGGCACGCATTTCCTTGAAGGAGCTCCTCTTTAGAAACCTTACAGATCGCTATCTTGTCTACTGTATTCTTAATTTTTAGGAAGCCGCTGAAAGCCCGTTCCAGAAAGTATTTGGGATAGCACTGTGTGCTTTAATGAGTGAGGGTGTCGCTAATGTAAATAGGGAATGTGTTGATCAATTTGACATTCAGCTATTGTTACAGCATCATTTTATTGATACTGGTGGTGGACAGAGTTTTATTGATTTTAATGATATTATTCAAAGTATTGCAGTACGCTTCTTAGAGATGCATGGTAAAAGGAGCTTAAAAGTCACTTAAAACAAATAGATACCTGCGTCCTCTTTGTGGTTTTAAAAATTAAAAGTAGAAGCAGTCCAGAATATATCTCTTTTAAAATTTGACCAATTTTATTACCTTAACCCAAGAAAAGTTGGAAGAACTTACTTATACTCTTCTTTTTTTTCCAGGATGATGAAGGTCAAACAGCATTACATTATGGTAAGTGGCACATTATCATATTTACTATTAACCCGGTGTAATCATGCATTTTGAATACCTAAAGAGAAGAGAGAGAGAGTTGCAACAGGAGGAAACATTCGGTCAAGAATGATCAATAAATGATCCAAAATCAGAACATCAGTTTTCTGTACAATAATTTTTAACCTTAAGCCTTATGTTGCAATATTATCTCAATGAGAATAATAATCTTTAAGATGCAACATTGGGGAAATTACATCTCTAATTGTCAAATTGTTTTATATTTCCATAATTTTTTTGGAAAATTACCATTGATCATACACATATGATGATTCTTCATAAAACTTCAGTTTTTTCTGGCCAGTTATTCTAAATAACTCCAGTAGATTGCTATTACAATCCAACAATCCAGAGTTGAATATTTAACTAGGATTGGTAATTTTCATTCAGTTTTGCAATAAATCCTTGTTTATTAAGAACAGTACAAATACTGTATATATAAAGGGGAATAGAGTGAGAGGAGCTTTTCCATACCTTTTTGTTTGTTTGTTTTTAAACTCCATTTTCTGCAATTTGTGATTCAAAAATTTTCAGAATAGAAAAAAAAATATTGTAATAATTGGAGGATACTATATTTCTGCGAGTCTGGTGCAATTGAAGTGTTGCTTGTTAATTAGTACAAGAAAATGAAGTATTATAATTTCAGACTGGTATCTTTCTATATCTATATTTTCTGCCTTGCCATTTTGGCCAGGGTCTGGCCAATTCTAGTAGCACTAATTAAATATTATGTGTACTCTGATGGTATCATATTACTTCAATAAATCATTCAAACTTACTTAAATCTGCTCTCCTCTGAAAATCTTTTACTTAGGTATAAATTGGACTGCATAAAACTATTAATTATAATATCAAATTGAGTACATAGGCACCACATTTACCCTATGGGAATTAACTTTGCCACAAGCTATATAATAAACCAAGGATTTAATGATAACCCTTGGAGTAAAAAGGGTAAAACAGAACCGGAGTTTATCTATCTTTTTATGAAGGCATTTGGCCTGACAGCTGTCCTTGCCTCAACAGCTCTGATGATTACAGAAAGTGCCAAACTGTATCCTTAAATGAGTTATAAATCCTGGTTCATTCTGATTAAACACTGGTCAGAGTCATTAGGAGGTTAAATGAAGGACAGCTCCCAAGTATGTTAACCTCAGATGTGCTGCCAAGAGTGCCTCACCCTCCTCAGCCAAATATCTTTTGGGCATTAGTGCCCCAGTCATTTGTGGTCAGCTCTGGCCTGTCTCATCCAAGATGTCTGTGGTCTCCCTTATGGATGGCCTGTTCGCTTTAAAATCCCTTTTTTAAGCACACACCCCTCTCCTGCATGCGCACGCTTGTTCCCTGCAGGGAATGCTCAGATGATTGCCTCTCTGCGTCCCAAAGGAAATCAGGGTTTCTCCTTGGATTTGAAATCACATGACTTTAGAGTGGGCTGGCTTGCTATATTCGCCTGGGGATTTTTTTTCACTGTTAAAATGCCATCTGCTCTGGTTTTTGCACAGTGGCAAGGCAGTCAGAGGGAATACCAGTGAGGAAATAAATAATAATAAATGAAATCCATCATGAAGACCCTGAGGATTAATGGACTTGGAAGGCAAACTGTGCTGAATGGAAATTCATCTTCCACCTATGCCCACGTCAGGACTGCCTTGCTAGTGTTTGACAAATAGAGGTTCCCCGGGCATGCTGTAAATTCAACAACTGGTGTAATCTCCAGGGACAACTTCACTGTATTTAGAAGTGGGCTGATATCCTCCTGGGCTGCCCATTGCAGAGGCAACACATTGTGTCATGGAAGGCTTCCTCCTCAGAAATGCCAAGTGCCTTGCCAAATGGCAGCCCTTAGTATCAAGTCATCCATCTGCAGAAGATCCCCAGTGTAAATGTAAACAGGCTATTTTCAAGTAAAACAGCATCTGGCTCCATTCTGCTTCCTGCAGAGGCTTCTGTTGAAAGATAATAACAATCAGAAACTAGATTCATTCCTGATTCAAGTATGCCGTTGACCTACAGCACTACTGATTTAAAGAAGTCCCTTCAGATACATAAATATCTATCAAATAAAAATGCAAGGACATGAATGGTACCTTTGTAAAGATTATATCATTTAAAGGGACACAGTTGTAGGATAAATTCTCCTAAATAATTTCACGAATAGTAAACACTGTGCATTTCCAGGGAAGCAGGGGCAAACTAAAGACAGCTCTGCAAGAATTGGACTGAGCCAATGAATAAATTGGTGCCCTGGATTCTTCTCTAAATGAAGAACAGGACTTGGGATCACCCACAGGGATCCATATAGATGGTCCCAATGACCAGACTTTAAAATGGTGGTTTTTTGCTGGATTTCAGCACTCTGGAAGCTGGGAGAGTCAGCTTTGAGGATAGGAGCCATCAAAGGGACACTGGGTTCGCTCACTTCCTTTCTTAATTACTTTGAATATAAATGACTTGTAAATTGCTTTTTGGATGCTATGAACTTTCAGAAGGACAGGTTTTATCACACTGGATGATCTTACTTCAAATGGAAAACCTTCTACATATGTTTAAAATTTAAAAACTGATTTCACTGCAGATTGAAGGAAAATCAACCTTAAAAACCTTTTTGTTTGAAAACCATCAGCAAAAAAGTGATTACAGTATTTGTTTTTGGAAAGTTTTTAAATGGACTAAGGGGGCTAGGTTGACTGGAAGTAAGATTCTGAAGTACTTATAAAAATACTTCCATGTGATTTGTTTAAAAAGATATGTGAAGATTTTGAGTTTAAGTGTTAGAATTATTTTCCTGGGGAAATGTTCTGGATGAGACTAAAACATGATAAGAGGACCTTGAAGGCTGATGACGGAAGGCCACCAGAAAGAAAGAAGTAAAGATTATAATTGAAGGAAAAGAGATCCACTATTGCAGAATAGAGAAAAGCATTTTAATTCTGGAAGAATTGGAGAATATTTTGCAACAATGCACCCAGAAGTTTCAGACTGTGATACTACAAAAATGGGCTTAAAATATAAATTTGAAGAGGATATGACTGCAAATCAGTCTGTTTTGGATGTAGATTTAAAATTGATAGAAGAATGATACTGACAAAGACGTGATACAGGACCTACAAATGAAACCAGCTGAGGTTTTAATAATTTAAAGGGAACACAAATAGTAAACCAGAAGAGTCACTTGACTGTATGGATTTTAACTCAAAAAATGACCTGGACAATTTTCTTACATCAGCAACAAAAAAGATGTTATACTTATGAAATAATTCATAAGAAATGATAAAAGAGAGAAAAGAAGATGATTCTTTCCATGGACAAACAATGACTTTAAATTGTAATAATACCCTACTACTTCTTCCAAAAGGAAACAATGCTAATGTGTCTCCACTTTCATCTATTTTAAAACTGCATGTATTTCTATTTGTCTGTTACTATGAAGTATGTCCTTTGAGAACCTGAGATACAGTTCTTCCAGTAGATTCTCATTTTACCTTTGATGTTGAACTCTCAACATCTAAGAAGCTGGGAAATATTCTGTTCAATGTAGAGAAGCCTTCCTCCATCAGGTACTGTGGATGCATCAGGAGTACAAGTCTCAATAACTATGGCCAATATTTTATTTATTTTACTTATTAAGAGTTTATTTTTCCAGTAGCTATCCTAACATTAAATTAAGGAGCATTGAATTGTAAGTAAGGGTAACAATTAAGAACAGTAGAGCAACCACACCTACCTCAGCTGCTGAGCCATTTTGTATGTCTTAAATAAAATGTCTTTGCTTACCAAACATAAAAACAGAGATGAAGCTAATCTCAGTTTTCTCTGGTAAGGAGTTCCCAAACCTGGAAAAAAACTACCGGAAATCTTACTCTAATGTTTTACAAAGTATGCTTCAATGGTGAAGAACTCAAAAGAAAGGCCTCTCCCAAAGACTTCAAAGCTAATTAGACGCCTTCATGAGAAGCTTTTGTATAGCTTACTTTCAAGCGCTGAGAGGGTTAGTCAAAACCAGTCCTTTAAAATGTGCTAATAACCATTCACTTTTAAGCAAGTCACAGGGTTCCTTTTATAGATAATTATTAATTAATAATAAATATGGCCACAGCACCGTCAAAATAATAAATATGGCCACAGCACCGTCTTTGGTTCTCTTGGCGTCAGAGATTTTATTTTCCTTTTCTGCTTTCCTTTCCTTTCTCCTTTCCTCCCCTTTCCAAGTTACCTTCAAGTGCTAGAAGTGGGCAAACTCTGTATATAGGTTCCTGCTCCTTCATTTGTATTTGCAACCAGCCCATTTACACAATCCTTCCAAACTTCTTAACAGACTTCTAATAGGCAGCTTCAGTCCTACCACCTTGACAAAAACTCCATAGCTTATGCTATCACATGACAAAATGTATGAAACCTGATTGTTAAAAGAAAAATATTGTACATTTTCTCAATGATTTATATTTTTTTTCCCCATCCAAGATGGCAAATAGAAAATAAAAATCGGTTTCATATTGACAGCAGTACACTATCTTGAGTATCAGGTTAACAAAAAACTCAAACTGCGGGAACATTAGAAAGTTAGATTGGAGACCTTTTGTCATTTTAGTTAACAATGCAAGGATTTAAATAATCTTTCAACTGAACTGTTGTCCTATTTTAATTAAACATTTGCTTCTCCCCATAGTGTCAGCTGCGAAAAGGTATTTTCTCAAGATATTTCCTAATTACTACGGCTAATTGCAAAGGGAAACATACCATTAATGTGTTGACTTGCTATATAATTAAAAACATAATTTAGTGTTCAGCTGAGGGGTACCTTGAAAATACAGGTCCCATTGGAATTTCAGCTACAAAAAAGTTGCATTGGATACATATAGGAATTTTTACTTGGGTTTTTCCTCCATTATTAAGAAGCAAAAGAGTGCTAAAATTTCAATTTTAATAAATTTCAGCTGCTGAAGTCAAATACGTTTGAAAAATACCATTTTCCCCTGAAAAATCCCAAAAATAAGACCTAGCTTGATTTTTACATGTATGCTTCATATAAGCCCTACCCCCAAAATAAACACTAGTTAAGACCCCACCCACTCCGACCCACCATCTGGTTGTATGAGGTGGGGCAAGGTGCATGCGTAAAAATCAAGCTGGGGGGGGGAGGGGGTGGAGCTTTCCCATGAGCCCCATACCCACTTACCTTAGGACCACTGCAGCCATGCTCCCACGCCCCAACACCTCTTGTGCCGCTGCTTGACTTTTTCTGTGGCCAGACGTTGCACTGTGCTGTTGCTGCCGGTTGTGGCAGGATATCTTGTGGCTCGTTGCGCCAGTACCACTGCTCACGACAAAATGCCACATTGCGCCATTGCCACGTGGCCTGCCACAGGCGGCACCGATGCTACAAGCCATGTGACATCTTGAGATGTGCAACGTGGCCTCTAGCCATAAGCAGCCACAGAAGAAGTGGGGCAGTGGTGTGACAGGTGTTGGGGCATGGATGACCTAACTGCAGTGGTCCTAAGGTAAGCGGGTAAGATGTCTCCCCAAAATAAGACCTGGTGCTTATTTATTTGAGTCTTATTTTCGGGGAAACATGGTAGTAAAGTATTAAACTAAGGACCAATCATATTAAGGTGCCTAGTAAGTCTTCTCTCCACAGCAATTATCTCCCCTGAAGAATCATTTAAAGTGTTAAACCAAAGAAAATTATCCATCTCCTCTTCTCCTTGCAACTAACTATGAGGCTTGAAATGAGTGTGCTGTGGAGTACCACATTTTGCTCAATTTGACTCAACTTTATCCCTTCCTATTCCATTAGCTTCACATTTCATATTTGGAAACAAAACCATTTCAACTATGGCGGTGGGGAGGGAATGGGGACAAAGCAATGTTGCTCTTAAATTCTCAAGACAATTTGTACATAACCGAGTTTAAATGGATTGGATTAGAAGCCAGCTTTTACTTCACAGCTTGAAAAGAAAAATCTTAGCCTAAAAAAATCGACATCTGGTTGGTGGAAAGATATGGCATGTTTGCTTTCCCTAACAGTGTTTTTCCATCCTAAAATGTCTTCCTTGCAATTTGTCTTTTTGTAAGATGGAACCTTTAAAAAAATTGTAAATGATCTGGTAAAATAATTCCATCTTTAAGATTGCGAAAAGTCAGGAAATGCCAAGCCCAAGGTTGCAGGGTCTCATGTTCTCTCCAAAAGGTTATGATTTAAATTTAATATCCTGCATCTCTTCTACTCTCCTCTGCTTCATTTCAGCAAGATATGTTTTCCTGACTATCCCTGTTTTACTGTGCTATCTATCACTTATATTAGAGCTGCTGCCATGTTTTGCTTCTTGGCTTTTCCTCTTGTTCTAAGACTTAGATTCTTTTCCTTTCTAGTAATAAATCAAAGTCAAGAAACTGAAATGGTGGCTCTTTGTGCATCATATATATTGATGTCGGTGCCTGCTCAACACAGAACTTTGAGCTAAAAGTTTATATCAGAAACTCCACATTTGCCCTGTTGCACTTGCCCACATGCCCATAGTTCCCACTATTTACCTAAGTCCCATTTCTGCCACTTCGGTAGCAACATCTCTCAGTTTATCCTTCAGTAACCGAGAATCTATTTTTGTCCACGTGTTTGCTGTTAACCTTGTTTAGATAATTTCCCTTTTTACTGTGTTATTTTACAACTCTTATTTTGATTGGCTTTTTGGTGTTTTTCCCCTTGCGTCCTGTGACTTTGAAAGATCCAGGTTCCAGCAGTAAACACACTCCATCCACTCAGTCCCTCATTTATTATGGGGAAAGCCACAAAGTGAGTGCCTTCTTAGTTGCCAAAAACTTTACATAATTTAGGTGACAGGAATTGTTCCATGCCTTCTCAATCTTTAGCAAGGTTATTCACTGTAGCAGTTGTATTCTTTCGCCATCATGCTTGTGAAGGCAGCTCCATATCAGTGGATGAGAGGTTTGCATTATTCTCAATACATTTTTAATATCTGGATAGTGAATAACTATCTTTGGATTATCTCACATATGTTATTTTGTTCTCCAATAACACTGTAACAATCTCTAAGCTTCCATCTTTTTCCATGTTTACCAATACACCTTTTGGTCAGGGGTGGGATTCAATTTTTTTAACAACCGGTTCTGTGGGCTTGGCTTAGTTTGTGGGTGTGGATTGGTGGTCATGTGACTGGGCGGACATGGCTTGGTGGTCATGTTATTGGCTGGGTGTGGCCAACTCAACATCACTCACATCGAGGCATGCATCTCCTCACCTGGCCTCTCATGACTGTGGGGATGCTGCAACAGTCATAAGTGTGAAAAAGGGTCATAAGTCACTTTTTTCAGTGCCATTGTAACTTTGAATGATCATTCCACACAAGCAAAGTACCAGCAAAGGAGGGGGGAAAAACTCCAGAGAAGTTCCTGAGACAGGAAGTCTAGTCCTGCCAAGAACGTAATAAGGGTTAACGGAGAGGCAGTTTCTGTAAGCAACACCAGAATGTTTCCTTCCTGTCTTCCTTACAGGATTAGACTAGTAATTTCTTCTAACTACCAGTTCTCCAAACTGCTTAGAATGTTAACAACCGGTTCTAGCGAATAGGTGCGAACTGGTAGAATCCCACCCCTGCTTTTGGTGCTTTTAGCACTAGCCTTGCCAGTTACCCATACATGCTACTGCTACCTATCTCTAGTTTATCCTTTATACCAACAACTCTATCATCTGCTTCCAGTAGAGCAGGGGTTCTACAACTTTACATTAACATGGTCCGTCCCATTGAAAATAAATTTATAAAACCTCCCAATGAAGTACAAGTCCACAGTTTGAAAATCCCTGACCATGGTTACAAAATCTCCCATGAAGAAAACTGATGTGATGATTTTTTCAGTTCCATTGATACTTTCCTCTACACAATGGCTTATGAGAACTTCAGGTTTTACTTTCTGAGGATAATCTTTTTTTTTTTTCTAAGCCAATTATCCAAAAGGTCAACTAAATACCCAACTGCTATGATTAATTTTGGTTTCCTGTGTTGCTTTATAATCCACTCTCTCCAGTGCCCATTTCCAGTGGTTTCCTCTATCTGAATGACTCAAGAACTTTGAAAGAAGCAATTCTCCTTTCCACCAACTTCTTTTCATTTAAAGGATTTCTTAAATGTTCATGGACAAGCCACACAATGGGATAAAACTTTTCATATTTCCATTATTGTTGACATGTTGCTATCTTTTTTCTCTGGTATATTCATCCAGCTCCAGGGGCTAGGGAGAGATAAGACTGGATTGATCAGAAGGAAATAATATTCAACTGAAATTCTGCAACTGCAGAAGTCCGTTACTAAGTATATGTGATAAGCTAGTAACATTTTTGCTTGGGAGAAACTCAGTACCAGATAATAAGCTTATAGGTATGCATCAGCGGTGGTATTTGACCGGTTCTCTCCGCTGGTCTGTGTTTGGCCCACCTGCCCGCCTGAGCTCCCATACTCACTTTTATGGCCAGAATTCAAAGTGCAGCTGCTTTGCGCGGCACAGAATAGCGCCGCGCGGCAGCTGTAGAAAGCGGCTGGCATCGTGCAGGCTTGCAGGACACAAGTTAGAATGCCTCTATGCCTGCGCAAAGTGCGCGTTTGGCACGCGCACGCACACGCACGCAAAGTGTGTGCACGTGCGCAAAGCGCACCCACCAAGCCACGCCCACCGGACCGGTGGCAACTTTATTTGAATACCACCACTGGTATGCATGCTATATGATAATGCACACTTTGTGCGGCATCAGAAAAACACTTCATGGCACATGGTAGACTAGGATTCTGAAGTCCTCACATCTGCAGTTACTTTCAAAACCTTTATGGAAATAGTCCACTGTTTAGACTCAAAATCAAATTGAGGATTTTTCCTTTGGGAGGGGAAGGAGGACTTGTTCCACTCCTGAAACTGATGAGGTGATGAAATGGATTCAGAAACTTATTCAGGGAAATCCCACAAACAGGAATCTTGTATTTTCAACCCTCTTTTTCTTGCATTCATATGTGGAATAAGGAGGGAGCTTCCCGGTGGCCTAGCGGTGAAGATGCTCACCTCCTACTCAGAAGGTTGAGTGTTCAATCCTAGGCAGCGGCAGATGTTTCTCTAGCAAGTGGCAAATATATCTGCTGTTAAATCCATGGAGGAATCAGAAAGGGCATCTTGCCAGTAAACAATCAGCTCCATTCAGTCGACCCAACTCCACCTCAAATAATGGGATTAAAGGGTCGTAAAAAGAAAAACAATTTGGAATAGGGGGAATTAAGATACTAATTCATGCATACTTTGTCTCTCACAAATGTGCCAATAGCTTGTGAGAGTTTCAAAGTGGCATATTTAACTCCGCAATCCATAAACATCTGGATCTCCCTTATTTTTAAATATTGTTTTTTTACTTTTTAGAACAATATTGCACAATTGATTATTGGCACTAGACAATGGCATCTTTATTATTCATTCTGTCTCTCATTCATCAGAGTTCTGATATGCCTCATTCAGCAGATGCAAACCGTTGATTCTGATTTGTTTCCATTTTGTTCTGGTCTCTTCTCTAGCTTCTACCTGTGAATTTTCTGATATTGTGGAACTGTTGCTTCAGTCTGGAGCTGACCCTACCCTTCGGGACACGGAAGGATACTTGCCTGAGGAGGTGACAGACTGTAGAGTAATCACCTCTATGCTCCAGGAACACACAGCCGGCAAAGCTTAACTGCAAGGCCAAGGAAGTGAAGCCCAAAGCTTTCAGAATGGAAGAAAAGCTGTAATAAATCCATCCTTCTCCTACTACTTACTCTGCACAAAGCATAAGGATTGGAATTGGTTGAACGAAAGTGCTTGGTATTGATACGTATTTGGAAAGCCAAAAAGAAAGTAGTGGACTGTGATTCACACAGCCTACTATCTACCATGTGAAAAATAACCTCAGCCATAGTTTGTGACTTGCCGTTTGCTTAATAGTTCCCCACCCCTTTTATTTTTTGGCAGTCTTAAAACCAATAAAAATGATATATTGGATTTCTACTATTGTGTCAGATGTAGCTGTAAGAGAAGTTCAGTTGGATAGATTGCACACTATAAGCCTGATACAGCATGAGGCTTACTTCACTAACAGGAGTTTCATCGTGTATGGAAGCTGCTGAGAAAAAAAAGGAACTATACGGAAGCTGAAGTCCTGTGTGTTCCTTCTTGAGAATAAGCCCTAATTAGACACACAAATAGTGTTGAACTTGCTTTCCCAAGTGGACTTAAGGACTAGCTTCTTATTTGCTCCATGCAACTGGAAGGAAAGGAAGATACAACTGCTGGATAGGGGAAAGGAAGATATAAGCCAGTTTGTAGAGCTTTTTTCCCCAAAATGTTAACAGTGTTATTATTTATATTTTTTTGAAATCAGAATTAGAAGTACTGTACTTCTCTAAGATCTAAAAATAAAGGTAGTGGGCTTTTTTTCCTTGATCCTAAACTGGTTAGCTAAGTAGTTGCTGTGTTATTAAACTATGAGAACTGATAGGCATGTTAATTGTGTATATCTCTCTGTTTCTGGTATAAAAATACTTTCCCGCATGATATGAGATATATAAAAATGTTTCTGGAATGTTTCTCTTTTTCCACCTGCCATTAAACCAAATTAGTTATATAAAAAGCATCCTGAGTTTATTTGGACACTACAAAATCTTACCCTGGTATTTTTTAACCCTGTAGATATAACTAAAATATTTTAGAGAAAACATCAACATAAATGGCTAAAAATTCATGGGCAGAAAGGGAGAAAAATATTATAATCCCTAAATTTGTTAATCTGCCTCAGAATGAGTGTGCGTTCTCAGATTGGCTGCATCCAATTTCTGACTTCGTCCTGTATACACAATTTCTAGTGGGAGCTTTTTCACATAAAGCTAGGTGCAACTCATACTAAACTTTTCTGTTTGGTTTTGAGAGCCAAAGTATTAGCTTTTTCATCCACTGAGATCTCCACCCTGAATAATTCTTTTTTTTTCTTTTATTATTTCAAATTACTTTTATCATAATTCTCTCCACGTTTTCCCCACTGAAGAATAGTCATGTTCTTGTCCTCTTCCTTCAAGCAGTCTGGCCTCAACCTTATAGCCTTAGAGACTCCATTTTGCAAGTGCCGGTGTTACAAAACTAAAAATTGGAATCACATGAACACGATCTAGGTTTCCCTGCCCTGTGGAAGTTCATTCAATAGACCAATGTTGGATTTTTATTTTTATTTCCATGAAATTTTCCTACTTCAGGCTGACCCCACTCAGTGTGGAGTTTTCCTCCTGCAACAAGAGATGTGGTTTGTACATATTGATTTTGCAGGATGCCTAATGTTAGATATTCGTAGTTGCCCTATCATAATCTTTTTATTCACTGTAAAGTAAATCGCTCTGTAAACTAATTTTATGTTTTATCATTTGGTCCTGCCGTGGCCTCTTTTTTTTTAATGCATAGCATCTTTTATCATGCTCTTTCATCTCCATTATTTATTTCTGTTACCTGGTTGACAGACTCAAAGATATGCCTTCCTCTTCTGAACTTTCTTGCCATATATCTCAGGTCTTTCTCCTACAATCTGGACTTCTCCATCAGTTATGAAAGTCTTCTGTTCTTCCTGCATAAGTTGCCCAATTATTGGGACAATGGTTATCATCACAAAGGGAACTTTGTTCTTTTCAATGCACACCGTTGTATGCTTCAGGCTATCATACACAAGAGGCCCCCAGGAGAAGTAAGGACCTGTGACATTCTGTAATTGTTAGGCTGCATGGAAGCCTCAACTTTGCTCATCTTCAGCTACACCTTCCAAGTATGGTTCATCACATTTGAACCTGATCCTCAGGGTTCAAATATCATAAAAATCCATCAGTCATTCTTGCATCAAGAAGCCTTTTCAGTGGTGACAGGTTACAAGCTATCTCACTGAAGGTCAATTCTTCAGGCTTTGGTCGCTAACACAATTCATTGGTGACTCAGTTATGTCTTCATTTCTGGTTCTTTTTCACCTGACACTTTTGGCCCATATTTGACTCATTGCAGCATCTCAGTAAACTGAAGTTCCTGGAATTTTTGAGGCAAAGCATCCAAGTGATATTAAACAACGATGTTTATACTACATTGACCATATGGTTCAAGGTTGATAATGGCACTGATAAGCCTTACCTTCCATACTACCCTAGTAATCTCTGCATCTGAAAAATGCTCTTGCAGACTGCAGCTATGATTCTAATCGTATATCAATGGGTGTCTTGAAATTGAATTATTTCCCTCTCTTCCCACATGTATATCTTGGGGTCTACCTTAGCAGCAGGTGCAGGTTAAATTCCATATTTATATTGCTTGGAAAGCAGACATTTACAGTATATTTTTACTAATTCCCTTTCTGATCGGAGGCTTTGGAAAGATCAAGAAGGATTCAGTCAATTATGTCCTCATCACATTATGATAACTTTGATAGCCATGATTCATTCCTCCCCTGTGTTGTTTTAAGCCTTATTAAGCAATTCCCAATCTCCTCTCCTTCCATCATACTTCCAGGATCACATTTCCCTCCACCTTACAGTCTGGAGAATTCCATTCTGACTTACAAAGAAAAAGAGATCTTTTCAGAAACCATCCACAATGACTTTCATGAAGTTAAAGGGCGGGAATTGTATGAGGAAAAACAAAGAATATTTTAGTTCTTCTGCAATGTCGTCATATTTTACCCTTACATTTAACTATGCATGCCTTGGCACTTTTTCCCATAAGCTTATAGTTTACATTAATATCTACTTCTATTTTTCAACATGTGGTATTTTTCACTAGTAAGGTGTTATGTCAAAGGACTGTTTTCTTCTGTTCCCCAGTATACCTGCTGATTCCATCCTCAATTTTGTCCATCATTTTCTCTGGCTTAATTCCAGAGCCTTTTGAGCCCACAGTTACTGACCTTATTTACCTCTTATTGTGAAATACGTTACTAGCAGTAGCCATGACCTTGGCTCATCAACTGGGAGACTTGTGTGTGTAGCACAGAGATTCTTCCTGTTTCTTAACTTCGACAGATCACTTTTCTCTCAAGGTTGGAAAAGCAGTTGCCTTCCACTTAGACAAAATGGCATAATTCCAAAGAGACCAAATATCTATGGTGCAATTTCTCTCCCCAACACTCTTCCAAATGAATTTTAGCAAACATCAAGTTTTTCTTTGAAGTGTCCAAGCAGGTTGCCTATTTCAACTCCATACCTGTTTTATGACAGTGATAGCAGCAGTCTGTAGCTTTCAGGTTGCTTTACCAGGAATGTGCCTGTGAGTTAAAGGTAACTTTTAACTTAACAAGTGTAATTGATCCTGAAAATATGATTGTAAGTTGTATCACATGACCGATCCCAATTTTTTGACAATTTTTGTGGCAATTGTTAAGGGAATGCCATGGGTCATAGAGCAAATCAATTTTTCTTAATGGGCATTTTTTCTGAAACCCAAAGATAAATGCAAGAGACCAGCAAAAATGTTGTGAATCATGGTCACGTAACAGTGGGACACTGCAAACATCAGTAAAAGTAAACCATGTGCCAAGCACCAAGAATATAATCACATGACTGGGGGAAGTGCAGCTGTTGTTAACTTCAAAAACATAAGTAGTTTTTGGAGGGTCCATCATAACTAAATAGTTGTTAAGCGACCAGTCATAAGTCAAGGACAACCTGATGTGGATTCTGCTTTGCAATTTCATGTAACACATGAACTGGAACTTTGCTTTCAGAGAGGTACAGAAGTTGGGCTATTTAGGCTTGCTTTATGTGTATCTCTCCTCTCGTATATAGTCACATTAGCCTTTTCTTATTCCTTATACCTCAGGAGTGAAGAATTTTTAGTTGCTGCACTTTTCCTTCATTATTTTTAACTGCCAAAGCTCACAATAGTGAGAATGACACTATAATATGCCAATGGAGGGAAGGGTGGTGGTTGCTCTGGCCAGAGATTTTTCCTAGTTTTTTTCCCCTAGTTTTTCCTAGTATGGGAAACTTGGAGGTGAATCAGTCATGTTGTTTTTTGATATTTTGCTAATCAATTTCAATAGTTCAATCTTGAGAGGGTAAACGAGCTACATACAGTTTTATTAAAGTAAGTAAAGTGCAATCAGAGTTTTGGAAAGGAAGATGGACAAAAGCAAACAAAAAAAATCAAATTTGGCAGTAGAGGCAAAATTCAGTCCAAATAGATAACCAATATATATATACTCAAGTATATACTACATGCTAAGTACATAGATCCACCTTTGTAAGTACCCGTGGTACCATTTGTTTCCTAATAGCTGAAGTCCTATGATAATTTTTTGCCACTTTATAGGTATTTGAGTTTAAATTTGATAAAAGGGATACTTGTTTGGAAGAGGGTTTATAAGTTAATGTCACAAGTCTCCAGAAATAGTACATGAGTCAGCAGAGCCAAAAAAGTAATGCACATAGGTGTCTATCCTATGGGACATCAGCATACAGGTAGTTCTCGACTTAATCATCATTAGACCATTGCCGCATCCCCATGGTCACTTGATGAAAATTCAGATGCTTGGCAACTGACCCATATTTTATGAAGGTTCTGGTCAAGGGTGGGATTCAACCGGTGTTACTACCGGTTCGGTGATTACATTTTAGAATAGAATAGAATAGAATAGAATAGAATAGAATAGAATAGAATAGAATAGAATAGAATAGAATA